CTAGTGAGTCTGAAGTTTTATATTTAATTTATTATTTGATTTTTTTGCAAATTTGTACAGAACAGCACTAAAAAATTTTTTTTAATGTTTGACAGAAGCAAAGAGTTAGACAAAATACAAATATATCTGATATTAAAAAAGAAAAAAATTTGATACTTCGAATTTTTTTTCACTTATTTTTGAATATTATTACAAAGAAAATTTTAATACTATATACAGTATTCTAGAATAATATTAACAACTTAAAAGCTTTGCAAGTTCAGAATGTAAAAAACTTTTAAAAAGAAAACAGTTAAGTATAATAAATATGAGATTGGTAAACACCAATAGCATCTCTAAGGCAATTTTACCAAGAGAAAAATTTTTTAAAAAATATTTTCTTATAACTTTTTTTTTTTTTGTAAAGAACAATGAATAATATTTTATAATAACTACAATGTGGTTTTTTGAGCCTTGTTAAATAAAGTTAAATTCAAATATATACTTTTATTAAATGATATATATGTGTTAATATAAACTAATACTTCTAGGAAGTCTAAAAAACTATAGTAGCAAATTAAAAATAAACTTTCTAATTTACTTAAAAGCAACTATTCCTGTATAGATTATTGAAACTTAAATAAGCTATTATAACAAATTTAGTTTATTTTCAAATAATTTTACTATTTTTATACAATTTTTTTTTTTAAAAAAAAATTTTTTTATACAAGATTTTTTTAAGTTTGTACAAAAATAGCTGGGTTCCAGGTGCTTTTTTACTTTAATATGTGATGAGAATCAATTAATTTTATTTGTGGCCTAATAAAAAAAGGTTTAAAAAATTTGAATAAAGATATCCCCATAACTACTTAACTAAATTTGATAAACCTTTTTAATTTGAATTCTATGCATTCCAAATAAAAAAGTTTTAAAAAATTTAATTGGTGATTGTAGAAAACAATTGTCCTTATCTCTAAGCTCTGTTAGTAGAATTTCCGGTATCAAAAAATTGCAGTCACATAACAAGATTAAGTATGATCAGAAAAATTCAAAACAAACACCTGCTTTGTCAAAAATCAAAAAGCAGCATAAGAAACTACCTTTAATGCTCTAACAAAAAGTTTTCCTTGAGTGATTTTATTATTAAAGCTCCTCTAACTCTAACCTTAGCATAAACACTAATGAACTTTATAAATATAGTATATATATTATATAGTTTTGTATAATTCGCTCCTATAATTTGCTCTAATAATAACTGATTAGAATAGGCATAGACAAAAAGCAAAAAAAAACAAACCAAAAAAAAGAATGTAAAATTTTATACCTTTTTTATTATATTACTCTTTAAACCTTAAACTCGCATATTCTATATAGTCAATTAATTTCTGAGAACTGGGCCTGAACTTAAAAATATGTCTATTGGTAAGCTTTTATTCAATAACACCATTTTGTCAGTTAAATAGAAAATAACATTTACCAACCCCTATACACCCTAAAGAAATGGGATGCTAATGCAAATTTATTGACCTCTTGATATTATTTATTACTTCTTTAGTAATTGTGGCACCTATTAAACAATGCAAACAAAAATATTAATTTAAATATTATTTTGTAAAAACAGTATAAATGCATCAACAAATAACTTTACTAGAATTATATAAACAAAAGATAATATCACAACTATTTTTTTGAAATTCTTTAGATGGGTATAAATTATAATCACATTCAAACTCTAGAAATTATCATTAACAGAAATTACCATTAATTTATCATAAAAAAAAATTTAAACAGTGCACTCGTGCACCTCTACTTTTTAATATTAAGATAAAATTGCAAAAGGAGTATTTTTAGTTACACAACAGGGTTATCCTAGCAAAATAAATGCACGGTGCACCATATAACAGAATACTTATCATAGATTTACCTGAAATTATTTGCAATATCAATTGATCTGTAATTTATTGATCTATGAACGAAATCTTGTTTCTGGATTCTTCATAAATAATATTTCCATTCAAGAGGTCATTATGACAAAACACAATAGAAGACCCTATTTTTACCAGTTTATTTTATAAACTAGTCAACTAAATAAACATTTTATTAGTTGAAAATTTTTTTTCGGTAATAAAAATTTACAACATATATACTTTATTGAAGAGTTCCTCCAATTTAAAATTTTTTTGAAATTTCTTATCAGTTTTTGGATCAATATATGATTTCAGTACTAGCAAAAATATAATATATAAGAATTAATCTGTAAATAATGTTAAAAGTAATAATGAAATTGATATTAATACTACCTTCTCTTAACCACTTCCATAAAACAGGAAATAATGTCAATTCATTTTCATTAGAGATGTTTACCTTATGCCAAACTGCCATATGTTCTGTAATGAGCATATATATATACCGATTACTCATATCTAGTATGGAAAGCACACGACTAGGAGTATAACCATACACAATTCCATTATTAAATCGACAATATACTAGTCCAAGCTTAGATAAATATCTTATATCTATATAGTCGTTTGATAATTGTTAATTAGATATATTGAAGGCTTACGTGCAACGTATTAATTAAAGAAAATTTCTTACCGTAATTTCCCTTTTTCTGTCAATAATGACGTCTAATCTTTTACTATAAGTACGAATCAATATAAAAACTTGGAGACGTTTATTTGTGCATTTTACAACTATAAAAGAAAAATTATATTTTAAGAATCATTAATAATAACAGATAAAGCTTTATGAGGAGTGGCAACTTACGTTTCCACTTTTAAATTGCGCAAGTTCTAAACCATCATTTCTCCACGATTCGAATAGTAATAAAGCAACTTCTTTAGAGCTTTCATGCAAAAATTTGTAGTTACCACGGTATAGTCAATAAATTTAAGGTTCTCGTAAATATTAACTTCTTTCGCACTTAGGCATCATCATCGTCTAGATAACCACATGAATGTGTAGATACAATTCAACAATTAGCGTAATTATTTTAATTTCTTTGAGTTACATAAAATTTTATAAAGAGAACGGCAAAAATTACAGCATTAAAGAGTTTAAAATAATTATAAACAAACCAAATTGATATTAAAAATCTTATTTTATATTGATATTACAAAGCTTTTCTTTAGTAAAGTACATAAATTCTTCTTTCTTTTGATTGTATAACTTCTTATTAGAACATTGCTTAATAATATAGTAATTAAAAACTTGATAAATAAAAGTAATACTATCCAAAAGTATAGAATTAGATTCTTCACTAGTTCGCCATCTAGATGACAGACGCGAAGCCTGGTAGCCTACCTTTACGAGTAAAAAGATTTTTATTTTTTATTTTTTTTATTTTTTATTTTTTTTGTTTTTTTTTTTTTTTTCTACTCGCACCTCTGCTGACCAATTACCTAGATAGAATAGAAAAACCGGTAAACAGAACTGTGATAGGAAAGTCACCGTCTAGATGACAGGCATGATTATCTTCCTTCGCACTTCTAGGCATCATCCACCGTCTAGATGACAGGCATGAATGTGTGGGTATACAATTGGCATAATTATATTAAGTGTCTTCGACGAATTACATGAAGCTCTATGAAATTCCATAAAGAGAACAGCAAAAATTACAAATTAAAAGGTTTAAAGTAATTATAAACAAACCAATTTGATATTAAATAATCTTATCTTATATTGATATTACAAAGCTTTCTTTAGTAATGTACATAAATCTTCTTTCCTTTGATTGTATAACTTCTCATTAGAATGTTGCTTAATAATATAGTAGTTAAAAACTTGATAAATAAAATACTATGCAAAAGTATAAAAGGGTTTATCACAAAATCCCAAAAACCATTTTCCCAAAGAAAATAACACCGACTAAATTGACCAACATTATAACTAATGCCGGCTAACTTTGTTGGTATTAGGTCCTTTCAGGAATCTGTCTTTTGGGATTTTGTGATAAACCTGTATAAAATTAGATTCTCCACCAGTTTGCCGTCTAGATGACAGGTGCGTAACTTGGTGATCTACCTTTACGAGTAAAAATTTTTTATTTTTTTTTTTGCTTTTTTTTTTGTTTGTTTTTTTCTTTCTACTCACACCTCTGTTGACCGATTACCTGGATGAAAAAACCGGTAAACAGGACTGCGATGGGGAGGTTCCCGTCTAGATGACAAACGTGATTATCTCCCTTCACACTTCCAGGCATCATCCACCATCTAGATGACAGACATGGATGTGTGGGTAAAATATAATTATGCCAATTGTTAAACGGAACTGGATTAATTTGTGGTAATGTGAATAACCTTTTTTATTTTTTTAAAGAAAAATTAACATTGAAATCTCTAACGTTATAATTTTTTTTTAAAAAAAATTAAAAAATTAAAAAATTATAACAATAGTATTATTCCAATTTGAGGATCTTTAATACTTGACGAACGGTCATGTCCTTTGGCCAAAGTACAAGCATACTAACTTCATTTATTAATTTTACCTGTTTGGTAATTTTAGACTACAACTATATGAATATAGCAGCATAACTATCAACCAACAAACTATTTAAATACATACATGGAGGATGTACTAACTTCAACTGTTGAAACTGAATAGTATAACGGCGGTGGCAAGTTCACTTACAAGAAAGCGGCCATTATTAAGTATACTTAATGAATATAGGATTAATCGAGCGTCTAAAAAAATAGAAAATGGAGTATGAGAAAATTCAATCACTAACTAACTACAAACAAACAAATATATATTCTATTCACTGATAGATAAGATGCTATACACTCTAATCTTTGTCGCAAAATTCAAGGTGGTTTCGTAATATTGTAATTAAATTCAAAAAGGCAGTTCACATAGTTTTTTTTGCATTGCCCACAATTTGCTTATTATTCGCATTAATAAAAGACCTACTACCTCCATGTGATATATATCTAAACTGTCAGGTACTCACATTCCTTTAATGTCTACTTTTACTTTTCGGTATGAGTATATGATTCAATCCAATCAAATTAGAAAATGTTCTCTTATAAAACTTGAATAATGAGGAAATATAGTACACTATGTGTTTACGTTTACCGATATTTCTGCTCATAGAAGGTTTGATACCAACAAGAAAACTAAAAAGTGTTTTTAGTGTAGTTGTCAGTATCAACTTTTAAATAACTATAAAATGCAGGTATATCAACAGTATTATGGTAATAATTATTTGCTTGTGTAGTTTTCTAGTTGAAAAAATAATTGAATTCGGTTATATAAATATTCGTGTTGTTGTTATATATTATTCATGATTCTGATATGTTCCTTACACGCGTCTTCTAACGAGAAATTGGGAAGAGATTTAATTATCAAGGTAGCAACGTAACAGGGGTATTTATGGATTGCTGTACGAGTTATCATCATTGTGAGGACATTCGTATAATTGGCTGATATAAATTAATTGCCTGTGTAACTTATTTATACACTTTAAAGTACTTTTTGAGAACATAACGTTTCACCAACAAAAAAACAATTTTTTTTACCATTAGCTTTTCGAGAGCGTAAATATTCACTGTGCAAAATAATCGGAACATATTCGGAATCTTGAAGAACTTCACTTAAAAAACAAAATATACTTGCTATTTATTGGACCATATTAAATTATACTGTAGAGTGAAGGTAACTAGAACCGTTTTTGTCTAAAACTACTTTATTATGTTAGCTCTTGAATAAATTTTTGTTACTTCCGTTTAATTTAAGCTCTTTAGTAGTAGAAGATTCAGATTTAATGTTTAAATTTGGGTTTGTCAACTGTGAATTAAAGTTTGATTTATAGTTTGTAGATTCTTTAACAAGTGTGGGTTTATTATTAATAAATATTACACTTACCCCACTTTACACGTGTTTATCTATTCTCTAAATATATGTGATAAATTTCTTTGCACGTATTTTTTTGTTTTCTAGTACTGTAGTACTGTATTATTAAAATGACGATAAGTCTTCTTAAAAATTACGTATTTTGATTAGTTAATTATTACAGGAAATCACAGGTAGATCTACAAAAATTAGCCAATTGTTCATATAAGGACTTTCATCTAATTGGCTGATATAAATCAATTACTCGGGTAACTTATTTATACACTTTAGAGTACTTTTTGAGAACGTAATGTTTTACTAATAAAAGATTATCACAAAAGTCATTCTTAGCTTTAAACAAATATCAATATTCACTACACAAAAGAATCTAAAAAAGAATCATCTTCTTCATTTACTTTACTTAGAAGACAAAACATGCCTACTGCTTATTGAACTATATCAAATTATACTGTATAGTGAAGGTAACTAGAAATGCTTTTATCTAAAACTATTTTATTACATTAGATTTAAATAAACTTTTATTTCTAACTGTTTAATTCCAATAGATACAAGCTCCTTAGCAAAGAAAATCCAGGTTTAATATTTAAATTTGGTTGGTTCTTGTAGTGTGTTTGAGTTTGTCAACCGTAAATTAATAGTCAAAGTTTTAATTTATATTTTACATAGTAGATTCTATAATAGCTTGGGTTTATTAGTAATAAATACTATATTTATTCACTTTACACATATCTATTTATTCTTTACATATAAATAATAAATTCTTTTGTGTGTATTTATTAGTTTGTAAACTTCTTTATATAAAGTTTTTTTTGTTTTCTTAATTAAAAATTATATATTTGATTGGTTAATTATTATGGAAAATTATGAGTAGATCTACAAAAATTAACCATTCATATAAATGTCTTCCTATGAGCCAATAGTGAGCCAATTGTATAAATGTCTTTCTATGATATGGTTCTGGATAAGCATAATTAAAAATCTGCTATTAATTATTATAGTAATACTATATATAAAAATACTAGTGTATCAGAGTGGGATTTTCGCGTATAACATCGTGGTGGTCACGTGATCATGTGTACTACATACGGCCACTACTAAGATATTTTTCTTAGTATAGATTTTTCTTTATTTATTTATATATTTATTTGCTATTTATTATTTTCATTATGCATAAATTCGTTATGCATAATTCGTTACGCATACGATTGTTACACATAAATCGTTATGCATAAAATCATTTTGCATAACAGGGCTAGTAAACAGTTTAAAGATTTATTTAAAATAGTTAGTTATTTATAAAAGAATTATAAAAGAGATGTAAATTGGTCTCTTGAAGAAATATAATCTGCTATCATGTCCTAAAAACTATCTAAATAAAAGCCTCTTTGTCTTGAATCTCTTCTAACAAAAACCTAAACCTACTCATAACTGAATATTTCGGTTACACTAGTAATTGTTAATTATACAAATTTATAACTTGCTATATGCAAATAATAAATATATATAATAAATCTATATCTATAACTATATACTAAAAAAATTTGTATGTAATAATAACATTTAGATTACCTGTATAAATAAATTTTTTTCAATTGTGTACCCATAAATTGTAAAAATTTTATTGGCTTAGAAAGCTTAGAACAAAATATTCATTACTGTTACTACTCTTTAATGTGTTACTTTACCAATTTTTGTCTGGAGCGAAGCAACAGACTTATACTTCTACACTTATATTTATAATAAAAAGGTCAAAAACATAATATTGGCATTTTTCATCTATAATGTCACATACCTATATTTACAAAAACATATAACAAAACCAACTCATATTTACGCGTTTGTGCTCTGGTAAATTCTTTTCCAATAATTATGCTTTTCTTTATTTCAATACAAACTAACAAAGCTAATTCTGTAGCAGGCTTTTTATAGTAAATCTATAATCTAACTTAGAGCATATTATGTGTTTTCAATAGCTGGTAAGTTCTTTAATTGAGTGAATTATAGTTTTTTTTTTACTAATACAACCTTAATTTTAGTAATGAATTTTTGCAGTAAATCATGATCGAAACCATCATAATTTCAATGCAATCTAACTTAACTATATACTGTGTGTCTCTCAATAGCTGGTAGTGAATTATGTTTTTTTTAATATTTTCTTGAAGTTTGATATGCTTTGCACCCCTGCATTAAGGTTATATATCGCACCTTAATATGATTGGCTAATTTTGCAAATCATTATTTATAAAAAAATAAACAAATTTTGA